CCACCAAAATGGCTGGTTTATTTTGGATGCTGAAAGGTCTTCCTTCTTGGGGGCTGCTACCTGCCATTTAGAACAAGTTCAAGCTGAAATGAGAGAGAGATGAAATAGTAAAAGTGTAAGTAGAAGTGTTTAATAAGCTCTGAAAAATTTTAAAATAACAAGTGACATGTAGTGCAAAAGCAATCTATGAAAGGGAAAAACAGTATAAAGACGTTTTTATTACACTGTCAGAAAGGGTACATTAGAATTTTAGCTACAGGTTTATCTTAGATATATTCCCAACTGAAATAAAGATGTAAGGTTCTTTATGTTTGATGATAAATTCTAGTTAGGATGAAATTAATTTTGTTACTAATTTTATGGGATTCTATTAATGACTATTAAGAGCAGTTTAAAGATCTTCCATCAGCTAGTTGAAAAGAAATAATTTATAGAAAGTAGTGCAGATACAAGTATTTCTCAGATACAGCTTTTGTTTTCACAATGTGACATGGCAATCTATTACAGTGATGACCAGCTTGAACATTACTAACTGTTCCACAGTATCAAACTTAATTTAATTTACTGCAGTTTGGGTGTGTTGACACTTCCTTCTCGTCACCATATTTACATAGCTAAAGACATAACTCATGTCTTCCCGAGTCCTTCAGCCCTCCCTCACACAGCAAGATGGTCTTTAGGATTTTCTGGATTGGTGCACACCTTACCTGAAAGGCAGTGTCTCAACCTGGATGCATAAAAGTAGCTAAAAAGAGGAGAATAATTATTTCATGACCTAAAGATGTTTATTCATGTGTATTCCCAAGATACCTGCTTGTTCTTAGAAACATGCTCTTCTCCACCCCATTTCCTCAGAAATGTGATAATGTAAACTAGTAGCATCAGCTGATTTCATTCTTTTGGCCACTGAGCTATTCTAACACTGGTTATGACACAAAATCAACTGAACATTTAGGTTCAAATTTTTTAAAAAAGAATTTAAATTTTATATATTTGTAGGTTTATATAAACTATTGGAGCTTGAAATATTTATTACCTACAAGAAACCACCCAGATCTGAATTTCATTGCGGTATAGAGACATAAAGATCAAAAGCTAAATTGCAAAGTTATAAGAGAAATTATTGCAAATGTAAAAGATTTCAAATCAGCATTGTTGGTTTTTTTTTAGGCTCTTCAGTTTTTTTTTACATTTTAAAAAGACTTCCAGAAGATAGAGCTAAAGCTAACTGATGTTAACTGCATTAAAATAAATTAGTGATCTTATGTAATTATTTTTAAACTTTTCATAGAATTCCATCTTATTTAGAAAGTACAAAAATACGAATTATATATGTGTGTGCATGTATATATACACACGTGTGAGTGTGTGCATATATAGGTTTATCTATATTATATGAATTACTGATTATATTAACTCAAATAAATTATTCAGATAAAAAAAGAGATTGAAAACAAAAATGGTATCTGAAAAGTACAGCCCAAGAGGACAATCAGTTTATACATTGCCAATACGTACCCCTTCTACAAAGCTAATTAGGAGGAAATAAGAAAGCCATTAGGGAGCATGAATCAGAGGTTATGGTGTCCTTCCTCGCAAAAAGGATAAGAAAAAAGAGGAGGAGGAAGAATTCCAGGAATAGAATCATTTTTTGCTTATGCGTATAGTCAGTTTTATTAGTTTGATTTCTTCCTGTGATCTTGATCTTCTACCATGTATGGTAATGGGACAGTGCAGCTACTTGGGATATAAAGAACTTACCATGGAGGAGGAATTGCCAGGGGGACAAAGTTTCGGGCGCACAAATGAACAAATGCTGCTGCCGAGCTGCAGGCAGCCTTCAGCTCCTCGGCTCCACAGCGGTCGCGCACACACATGCTGTAGAACGGCTCAGGGTCCACCTGAAACACAGAGGGGTTTTGTTTAGTTGTTGGGTAACGTGTCCTCTCCTAGCAGACACTTGCCCTTGAGGTGTGCATAGAAAATTCCAGGCGGTCAGGAATTGAAAAAAGATCTGGGCTTGTTGTTTGCTGGTTCATTTCCCCCCACTATTCACAGAATATCTTTATTCTTTAGCTGATTTCCATTTTTTACTTATTTTTCCAAGTCGTAGACTCATATCCCTCTATTTTGTAGCTCTTGGGGACCTTACTTATTAGTGATATAACGCTTTCTTCGTTCTAGCTTATTGTTCTGAATTTGATCCTTGCAATGATTAATGCATAGAGCTTAGCAATATGGTGTCTGGGCATTCAGATATTCCTTTGGTGACGCCAGTTATACTTACAACTTTGAAGCAGTTCCTAAGAAGCGAGTGAGCTGCTTTAAAAAACATTTCACACGCTTTTTGTTTATCCGTAGCAGTACATGGCTGCATTTTCTTCTGCACAAGACTGCACTTGTTCACCTGCGAAAACAGAATCAAGCAATATTTTTTAAAAAAACATAGCACTCAACACAGCAAGTTTGGAGGAAGAAGATACCTGCAGGTCACTGCACAGCTCTGAATAACATTTATTGTTCATTATCCTGCCCCAGCTTCATAAATGAAACAAAGAAAGTATCTATCTTGCTTATAAGTACTACAGATTACAGCCATTGTTTCCTTTTTCTATTGATTTTTTTATTTGTTAAAGTATTTTGGTGGGTGGCTGCTGACACAGTAAGTAGTTGGCTTGGAAGCTTGACTTTATAAATGATAGATTAAAGTTGTGCTTTTATCAGAACTTTCTGTTGGAGAAAAATTCTGTATATCCTCCCTGGGCATTAATATGCAATATATAGCAAGAGGGCTTTAAGAAAAATATATAACCGAGGGACTGCAGAACTACAGGCATTTCTAGTCAATGAAATGTGCATGAATTTTGTTGCATGTGGTTCAGGTCAGGTCCTTTACCTTTCCAGTCAAGAGCTGATGATACGAAATATTAACAGAATGAGCAATGAGCTGCTCTTGCTAAAAGTGTGTTTGATTTATTTTGACTGTATATTGCATTAGCAGCTTACTATTTTTTTAATCAGTCATTTCTTTAGATGCAAAAAACATTTGATTTAAAAGACCTATTAGAAAAATATAAACTCCAGTTACTGTAATTAAGGGAAAAAAATGTCAGTTTAATGTCCACATAAACTTCTTCCTGAAGGGATCAGATATTTTCAAGTCTCTTCTCCTATTAACCTCTTTAATTTGTACAGCATCTGGTTTTGTAAACCAGAATTTCACTTACTATTTCCAAGATAGACTAAATGATGTGGGCTAAATAGTAATAAAACTCCTGGTAATGAGTTTCCAGGCGAGTCTATAGGTCAGTGCAGCTTTCAACTCATACAGTGCAGGAGGAATGACTGCTTTTACTTCAAGCTTAGATACTTGGCCAGATTTCACTTGATTGCTCTCTTACTTTCTATAGCACATATAGTTGCAGTAAAAAAATCTGTTCAGGAAGGGGGTTTACAAGCACTCATTTTATCAGCACAGCTCAATCGGGCTATTTAAAATGGTTATTTCTGTTACATTGTCTCTTCCTACCTCTTCAGAAAAGTTTCTAAGACTCGCTATGAATTCCTGACTTGGCAGGTTTGTATTCCTGGCCATTGCTTTAATGATGTATGACAACCATACATTATCAGCAAGTCAATCTTTTTAATCCTTTTTTTTTCCCTGAATGGGATATGGCTACGGGCAGCACCGAGTTCAACTGAAGTCATCTCTCAGTTCTTGCTGGCGGCGTGCGGCACTGCGGAGACGCAGACGATAAATGCACCGATCAATAGTGGAAGCAGAAGCACTCTGACATCAGCCACTTAACAAAGGTCAACCTCCCCGGCCTGTTTATGGCGGTGAGTTTTGTATGTATTGCTTTTAATTGATTATTATTTCTAGCTCAACTCTTGCATTAGGTGGCTGCATTTTACCACTAGATAGAGTGAAGCAAGGTAATAACGCATTAGAAGTCAGTATTTGTACCAAATTGACTAGCAGGCAGTCACACCATGATCCCATCCTGTCATGCACAGGAACATAATCTGGAAAATCACTAGATGTAACTCTTAAGCACAGGAAAACAAAGTACATAGATAAATTAAAGCTAGATCCTGCATACTCCAGGTAAGCCAAAACAGTATGTCTTATGTTGCCCTTCATGCTCCAGCTCCACAGGTAACCTGCACAGAAAAAAACACAAACTTTCAGCTTGTTACCTGCCAGCTTTGTGTGAATTCTTGCACATTGTCAGTGAAGGAATGATTAGGAAGCATCCATTCATTCCCTGCTTCATTATCATTGGTACCAAAAAGCCCAGCTGAAATACCTGGAGTGAGACACAGGGAAATTTTAGATGCCATTTCTGGACTCTGATTATCCCGCATGATAGAGCTCAGTTGTAAAGCAGAACAGGGAAATGATGTCCTGACATATATTACAGAATTTTCTAAAGCTGCACTGACAGTTGTTGGTTGTTCATCTGTGTCTTCTGATGAGATAACACATATATATTCTACTAAATAATTGTGCTGTCTGAGGTACCTGGCAACACCTGGTGCCATTTCCCAGGTTTGTATAAGCAAAGGTAGGAAAAAGAAGTCGGGGACAATGCATGCGCTAGAAGTAAAACAACTGGCACGACTGATACTCACCGTGGTGCCATCCAGCCAGGGTGACAGTACAGAGATCATACTGAAAGTCACAAGAGATGGAAACTCCATCCTGAT